CTTGACTAGTTTGACTCTTTTCTGTCAAGTTTATTCACTGAGGCGGGCAAAGATTTATTAGTGCTGGACACAAATTAATCTAGATTAGTTACATCCACGGTGGCTCAGTGGTTAGCACTGTAGTCTCACAGCAAGAAGGTCGCTGTTTCGAGTCCCAGCTGTGTCAGTTGGCGTTTCTGTGTGGAGTTTGCATGTTCTCCCCGTGTTGGCGTGGATTTCCTCTTGGTGCTCTGGAGTTTGTTTTTTAAACGTTTCTTTTGTTATTGTCTCTTGTTCATTATGAAGCATCTTTGGCATTTTTGAGACCCTATTAAAGAGTACGATGATAAAGGGTTTCTTTCACGCGTGCACATCTCCTTGAACTTTTTTTGGTAACACGTTAAAATAATGGTCCATTAGTTAATGAGTTTACTAACATGAACAGTAACCCTTTAGATTAGGTCATATAATAATCGGCAGGTAATAAGCCAGTAGTGCAGGGGTGGCCAACCCTGTTCCTGCAGAGCCACCTTCCTGCAGATTTCAGTTGCAACCCATATCAAACACACCTGCCTGTAATTATCACGTGGTGTTCAGGTCCTAATTAATTGGTTCAGGTGTGTTTGATGTGGGTAGCAACTGAAATCTGCAGGAAGGTGGCTCTGCAGGAACAGGGTTGGCCACCCCTGAACCACTGGCTTATTACCTGCCTATTATTATGATATTAACTGTTCATCGGTATGTAGTTGTAAAGCAGGGATCACCAAACTTGTTCCTGGAGATCCGGTGTCCTGCAGATTTTAGCTCCAACCCTTTTCAAACACCTGAACAATCTAATCAAGGTCTTACTAGGTATACTTGAAACACCTTTTCAATTATTCAACGCCTTTCATGTATACAAAACACTCTTATTTACCTTTATTTTGTTTGGTTTTTAAAAACATCATGTCTGGAAATGACGTAGAATAAATGTGTTTCCTTATCAAGCAATATTTACCTTGATTTTCCTTCAAATGTTGTTGATGATAATTTAAATTCCCTCCATCTTGAAGATGTTCTCAGATGACACTATTCATTTTCATAGAAACCTCCTCAATAATCTTTGACACAAACTTTTTAAAGCGACATTATAATGTTGTGGTGGAAATGACAGTGATACTGTGCGACAGCTATATTTTGTATGAAAATAATATTGATAATAGTCTCACATTAATAACTATAAAATATTAAAATTATATATTATATTATAGATACATTAATAGACACTGTTGTGCAAAAAAAAAAAAAGGTTCTGGTCTGTAAAATATTCAAAGTCTCTAAGTCAAACTTTTCAAAAAAAAAAGTCTGAGATCTCCGAAGTCTTTAGGCAATGCAGTTTATTGTTACAGCATCAGTACCAACAGAGACAGGTCGTTCGAGTGTCTGCCAAACATAGGCTTGCACACAGTTTAAATACATTTCTGTGTCTTAATACTTCATCCAAATTTACACATTACACTCCTCCATCAGCTTCTCCGCTAATGGGATCTTAAATCTCTCAGGTGCCCGCCACCAATACAATCTCAGGGTCTTTCAGGGGTCTTGTTAAGGTTTTCCTTCCTGTTTCAAAAGTGATGACTCAGCCAAAAAACAATGCTGAACAATATATCTTGTTTACTGTCCACTGAACTCTCAACTGTAAGTTCAGCTGAAGTTTATAGGTACTCATAATTTTTTAGATGTCAGTACAAATGAGTGTGGGCGCACATGCAGGTGCGCCTTATTATGACTTACAGAGCAGAACGCAGGTGTCCTTATTGCCTTGCATCCATAAATCTACCCTCATTGTGACGTTAATGCTGCTCTTCTAATTTCTTTTCTCATTTTTGACTGCATTTACACAGAATTACTTTTTTTTATTAACCAAAGCACACATACCTGATAATAATACCACAGGTATGGGTAATAATACAATAGATAATAATAATAATAATAATGAAATCACTCAAATAAGCATATAAATGAGAGTAATACATTCATCAGAAATTCATCAAGACACAATGAATTCCCCAACAACACCAGATAAATAAGATTTTAAAATGTTATTTTCATTGCTGAAGTGTAAAACTCTGGCTGTGCGACAAGGTGAAAAGTGATTTTGACACCTAAAAGGAGGCTGAATAGTATGAAAAATATATAAAAGAAAACTAGTAATTTTATTGTTAATTTAACAAAGAAAGAGGAATTTGTACAAAATTATATGTATTTTTTTTTTTTTTGGATATATGATCAAAGGACTTAAATGTGCCCGTAGTTGAAGAATTACCCATGAATGCGATGCCTCAGAAGCACAGATTACAGCCGTCTGCTTCCTCGTCTGGCTCAAACCCTCAGGCTGAACCAAACTGAGCCTCAAGCACCATCCAAATACTCACATGATGATGATGATGATGATGATGATGATGATATCCTGCAGGTAAAGCAGACTCAGAGGTTTAATAGTGCTGGCATCTCACACTTTCAGCTGCATCTGAATGAATCATCAAAATCTGTCTGTTAAAGACTATAGCACTATTCACTGGGAAGGAATAGTGTCACTTCTTCTGTCTAAATGGCATGAGTAAAGACCTGTCCGTATCAAGCAGGATAACTATTAGCATCCATTCCAGTATATTGCTGTTTAACAAACACGTTTGTGCTCTGCTGCTTTAAATGTTGTAAAACAGGAGTATTGGCTGTATAAGAATGCATTTGGTTTTTTAATATATTTTCAATTAGTATATTTTTAATTGTATACATATTTGCATAGAGAGCTCCAGTTCATAATTAAGTGCAAGAATTTCACTTTGAGGGACTAAGCAGTCTTTAACATTTCTGATGTATTTTAAAGGGTTAAATTATTATTTAGTGACATGACAAGTGGATGCAGGACATTTTTTACTGTATCAGACTTGAAAAGCTGAGATGCTCACTCTCCGGCTCACAAGATTCCTTTTATAAAACTTGGGATTTCTTTCTTGATTACATTAAAGGTCTGTCTATTACACCCGGTGCTGGCAACCTGTAACATTCACCATTTTATAAGTTTTTTTTTTTTTTAATTCATTAATATTATTTTTATTATTATTATTTTTCCATTTGTGTCCAGTTATTTTGATGTCATGTTCTTATGTGTTTAATTTTCTTACTTTGGTATTTATTGTTTTGTTAAGTTAATAAATGCGAGGTTTAATAATATGATTAATAATGGACAATACGCTACTGTTTACTTTTCAATTTTTAATTTGTATTGTTATACAAAAGACCAATGAAAAAGATTGAAATAAAAATGATTATTTAGTGTTTCTTATGCAGCTTATATATACCAAATACTACCAAATATAACCAATACTGTGTGGTAATTCTATAGTTGCTATGGTAACAGAACTATAGCAGGTAACATAAAACAAATAACGACAATGTTTTCCACAGCTATACTCTCAGTGGCCACTTTATTAGGTACACTTGTTTAACTGCTCGTTAACTAATTTCTAATCAGCCAATCACATGGCAGCAACTCAATGCATTTAGGCATGTAGACATGGTCAAGACGATTTGCTGCAGTTCAAACCGAGCATCAGAATGGGGAAGAAAGGGGATTTAAGTGACTTTGAACGTGGCATGGTTGTTGCTGCCAGATGGGCTGGTCTGAGTATTTCAGAAACTGCTGATCTACTGGGATTTTCACGCACAACCATCTTTAGTGTTTAGAGAGAATGGTCTGAAAAGGAGGAAATATCCAATGAGCTGCAGTTTTTTATACCCAGTTTTGTGGACGTAAATGCCTTGTTGATGCCAGAGGAGAATGGCCAGACTGGTTCCAGCTGATAGAAAGGCAACAGTAACTCAAATAAGCACTCGGTACAACCGAGCTCTGCAGAAGAGCATCTCTGAACACACAACACGTCCAACCTTGAGGCGGATGGGCTACAGCAGCAGAAGAGCACACCGGGTGCCGCTCCTGTCAGCTAAGAACAGGAAACTGAGGCTACAATTCACACAGACTCACCAAAACTGGACAATAGAAGATTGGAGAAACGTTGCCTGCTCTGATGAGTCTCCATTTCTGCTGACACATTCGGATGGTCGGGTCAGAATTTGGCATCAACAACATGAAAGCATGGATCCATCCTGCCTTGTGTCAGCGGTTCAGCTGGTGGTGGTGGTGTAATGGTGTGGGAGATAACTCGTTACTAGAATGGTGTACCTAATAAAGAGGCCAGTTAGTGTATTTGATCTAGTATGTTAATTTAGCTCAGTATTTAATTTACTGGATGTTGATCATTTCTCAGTGTTGGAAATATTATAATGCAATTAAGTTTGGTCTAAACTGTTTTGGAAATGCAAATAAATAATAAAAATAAATAAAAATTAAGGGACAAGTAGACTTTACCTAAAAAAGTGAATAAACCCTTGGTAATTTGAAACGCTTAAGTCAGCTTAACTTGCTTTACAATAAGGTTATATAAGTTAATGCATATACTAACATGAACAAACATTGACTAGAGCAGTGGTTCTCAAACTGTGGTACGTGTACCACTAGTGGTACGCGGACTTCCTTCTAGTGGTACACGGAGGAATGAAATATGTCATGTATATGCTACATATATTTCAAAATTTATCAAAAATTATGTATATAATATGCCACATATGAAATATAGCCTATATTTCTGAGGTAATCTGCCACATTATTTTTACCGTTTGGAGTTGTAGCTGCTTTACTAGGGCTACTACGCTTCTGTATTTTAATACTGCTCATTTTGGTGGTACTTGGAGAGACAATTTTTTTTCTGAGGTGGTACTTGATGAAAAAAGTTTGAGAACCACTGGACTAGAGTATTTGTTCCTGTTGGCGATGCAGTGGCGCAGTAGGTAGTGCTGTCGCCTCACAGCAAGAAGGTCGCTGGTTCGAGCCTCGGCTCAGTTGGCATTTCTGTGTGGAGTTTGCATGTTCTCCCTGCGTTCGTGTGGGTTTCCTCAGGGTGCTCCAGTTTCCCCCACAG